CTAAACCCTAAACCCTAAACCCTAAACCCTAAACCCTATACCCTAAACCCTAAACCCTAAAACCCTAAACCCTAAACCCTAAACCCTAAACCCCTAAACCCTAAACCCTAAAACCCTAAACCCTAAACCCTAAAACCCTAAACCCTAAACCCTAAAACCCTAAAACCCTAAACCCTAAAACCCTAAACCCTAAACCCCTAAACCCTAAACCCTAAACCTTAAACCGTAACCCCTAAACCCCAAACCCTAAACCCTAATCCCTAAACCTTAAACCCAAAACCCTAAACCCTAATTCACTTTATTTACTTTTTTATCACTAAAATATTATTTTATTTGTCTAAAATAATTTTGTCAACTATATATTAAATTACTTAAGTAAGTTTTTCTTATATTTACACTTTATATCTACCTATCATGGTGTATAATTCTAACTAATAGTGAGAGTTACAATTGAAAACAATGTCAAATATTGTAAACCAAGTTATTTTAATCTATACTATTCATAAAAGTGTGGATGGAGTGTAAAACTTTTTTTGGACTAAAATTACCCTCTATTTCTTTGTTTGGGAAAGTGTATAAAAGTTATTTTATTATAGCTTTAATGCCAACTTTAATGGCTTTTATACTTGTCATATTTGTGTATTTAATCCATATCTAATTGTAAGGGTTAAAAATGTAAATTCAATTATTACTTTCCACCTCATTTAATCCCCCTTTTATTATGTCTTATACTTAAGGTATTAAATCCCATTTTCTTTTGTTAAATCCTATATTTTTAACTTATTCTTCACTAATAAATGCTACTTATTAGATCTATGCCAATATCTTAATAATATAAACCCATATATTTTAACACTAACTTAAAAACAAAACCATTGTTTATCTAAGTGGTGCCAAAGAAATTCAGCCATCGGAATCAAATTGATCATCCTATGAAATCATAGTTAGGTAACAAAATTTTTAAAATATAAATAAATATAGAAAATTACAAAAAATATAGAAAAAATAAGACACATTTATGATATTTTTATTAATAAAATTAAAAAATAAGTGTAATAAACAAGAATTATTTTTATTGATAATGAAAATGAAATATATGTTTAGAATTAACCAAAGATGAAATATAAAAATTAATAACAAATAGTTCAACTTTTGGGTTAAAGAACTTAACCTTTAATATCATAAATAAATGATACAATTAATAAAATATAAAAGTACAAAAATGAAAAAATACATATACTTTGCCAAAAAAAAACATTTAGACATATGTATAATATCATATATTTATCATATTAAACAAAAAGTAAGTGAGACATATCATAATTATTTTCACACAAAAATACAAAAAAAAAAAAGAAAAAATTGAACACATCTATAATTCTATATTTAAACTACCATTGAAGATATGAATAAGATTGTGGAACTTTATTTTAACTAAAATCAAGGTTTTAAAAACCAACTCAGAAACGAAATCGCTTTGGCTTTTGGTTTTCGAGTCAACGGTTCAACCATCCAATTTGGGTGGGTCAAACTAGTAAGATGTAAAATATAATGTAATTTTTTTATTTTGTCCTTTAAATCAGGATTAGGTTAAAGTCCATCGTATATATACATTATGATGAGAGGGGAGTGTGAAACTTTGAGAATGAGGCAACTGGTTAAAGTTGAGAAGTGAGAAAAAAGAAATAGAAGAAGAAGAAGAAGAAGAAGAAGAGAATGAAGCGTTGCTGGAGGTGGTTGTCACCATGTTCACCGTTCATTGTTGCAGAACTGTTTGCCTTGAGAAGAAAAATAATGAGTGAATGAATTGCTAGCAGCGGTATCACCATGTTCATCATCACCGCCGCTATATCACCATTTGCCCTCTTCTTACATCTCTCTCATTTCTCTAAATCTCTCTTAAATTCTAGATCGTTTGCTTCATTGTGTATCTTAGATTTCTAATATAATATCAGAGTTTAATCTCTCATCTCTTGCATCAATTTTTCTGTTTCTTCACTGGAGTTGTAATTTTTTTTGCTGTTACAAGTTAAAAAGAATCACAGAAATGAGAAAATTCAAAATCAAAATGGAAAAACTAAAAACCCTAAATAATTTTGGTCATTAGGAATAACGAAATAGAATTATGAGATTTGAATGTTTCTTTTTTCAATTTTTTTATTTTTTAATTTCTATTTTAAAATAAATAAATAATTTAGAATTTGTTTGAAAGTAACCGAAGAACCGTTAATCGAGTCGAACATTTTAACAGTTAAATCATTTGGGTCAGTGGCTCTCTGACCATTTCAACGATTTTTTTGTAAAATAATGGTTTAGGGCTAAAATGGAAATGGTGACCTAATTGATTCCTAGACCAAATGATTCAACTATCTGGTCTGGTCCAATTTTTAAAACAGTGACTAAAATACTCATTTTATTTTAGTCCCTATTTAATTGTAATGTTTAAATTGTAAATTGAACTATTACTTTTCACCTCATTCAATTCCTTCTATTAAAATCTTACATTTTTTTATAAATGAACAAAAGAAAAAAGATACATCAAAAAGCTAAAGCACTACAAAAAGAATAGTCTAGCCAAGCAGTTAGGCCTTTCAATGATACTTGAAACTTCATAATTTGATCTGATTATCACATATTGGATGAGGCATTTATGTAATCATATTTGGATTTTTCAATCTGCATCTGGTTAATTATAAAAAATATAAACAAATAAAAATACATAAATTTTATAGAAAATTTTGGATATATTATTATTATAATTATTATCATCTATAATTGCCTTGTATAAAGCACATGCACACTTACTAATTATAAAAAAGATAAAAGCCAAATATTTTTAGAAAGTGTTAATCAACCTCTATTTCAAAATGATTTTGTTGTTTTATGATGTCAAGAAACTTCATATATCATGTTTTATTGATTAATATAAATTGTAGATTAAGGTTGGGGGTTTACCGTTCAGAGAGATTAGGGATACCGATTTCAATACATTGGTAAGACAAATTAAGTTGAATGGTGAAGACAAATAAGACTATTTCTATTTTTCTATCCATTTTGTAGGGGTTGGCCACTCTTGCAAGAGGAAATTGGAGAAGGATGCTTCTGTACATTTTGTTTGTTAATCAACTGGAAGTAGGTTATCTTTTGCAATTTTTCCATAATCTAGCTAGCATATGTGTATTGTTGCTTTATTTGGCCTTTGATTCTAATAATTTAAGTTGACTATTGGTTTAAAGTTGTTTGTTGTTTTCTTGGACTGAAAAATAGTAGCAAGCTTTGAATTTGTTTGTTGGAACTTATTTTTCCTCTTTGTTTCTTTAATTTGAATTTATAATTTTTCCAGGTTTTATCACTATACTTGTATGTTGCAAGTGTCAATTGTTATGTTTATCCTCAATTTTTTACCTAAAGGTATGTTTGGTTCCTAATTGGAATTGATATTAAAATCAGAACCAAAATCCTTTGAATTGAAATCGGTATGTTTGATTTATACAGAAATCAAAATTGAAATTAGAATCAGCTAAAATGGGATTTCATTCCCAAAAGAGAGGAAGAATGGTCATTCCCTCAAATCGAAATTAATTTCAGAGCCCTATTCCTGCAAACCAAATCCAAATGGGTTTAAGTCTTTTATCTCATCTTCCGTGCATCGCATGGGGCCCTGAGTAGTTTTTAACATGGTTTTTAAAATCGGATTGGACCAAATGGTTAAACCGGAAAAACCGAGAACTGATCAAGTGACCAGTTCCATTTTACCCTAGAAATGTTATTTCGCCAAAAACAGTTGATTTAGTCCGTAAACCACTGATTTGGGCAGTTGAATCGGTCAAACTGTTTGAACTGTCCAACGATTTTGGTGGTTTTTATTTTTTATTTTTTGTCAGAATGGACCGTCCATTCGGTTTGAATGGTCGGACCATTCAACCCGAGAACCGGACCCTGACCGGTTCGGTTTTAATATGGATTACTGTATATGGTCGAGTTGAGGCTGACAGCCCAATTAATGGCTAAAATCCTTCTGTTGTATTTGTTTGGATTTAACGAGGCCGACACATGCGGCTACTTTTTGAAAACTGGCATTTGCAAAAGATTGTCCAGAAGCCTCCTGGAGTGCTTCGTTGAATAATTTGATTGCTAACAACTTATTCAGCATAATATATGGAATAAAATTAACATAACATTAAAATGACATAATTCAGAGGGCCCCCAAAATCCCTTTTGCGATATGCCAAACCCTATTCCCTACCTCTGGCTCAAAGCTTATGGAGGCATTTTAATAATATAGATGGCCAACCCAAGCTGTCAATTTAACTTGCAATCCTCTGTATTGATCACATGTATGGAACCCCACTCCTATCTGCATCATCCATGTGCCTCGTAGCGGGCATTTCTGCTATCAATAGCAACCATGCATCGAGATTAATTATAATTTTTCTTTGAGGTTATGGACATAAAATAGCAAAGACAATAACTTTGGTTGATCACTCGCTCATTTAGTTTATTGCATGCCTGTTGAATCTATAAGCAGATTCTCTTTATCTTCTATTTATTTATTTAAATACGAAATTTGTTCTTCGTATGAAGAAGTTTTTAACCAGTTATCTTATTTGATGTCAAAGCAAGTGTCCAAAAAAAAAAAAAAAACAAATTCCAACTTAATTAGCATCAATCAAGAGAATCCAAGAAACTCACCAACTTAATTAATAACCTCATTTTTGGTCCATTGTATGATGGTATGATGGGCTAGAGTACGTACTTCGTACCAGATGGTATGATGTGGCTTCTAGATTTTTGGTGTGAGATTCATTTGTATGGGTTTTAAGAAAAATAATTAATTAAATTAAATCAATCTCATCCTTGGCAATTCTATGCTAATTGAGTAATAATGTAGGTATATATCATTCTAGCAGAAGCAGAATATTCATATTTAAAATAGCAAGCATTAGTTCAAGCTTTCATTTTCAAAGTAATTAACGTCCGAAACAATCATGTTTGGCAGGCAACATTCCCATACATTGCTTTAGAAAAAAAAAAAAAAAAAACAAAAGAAAAGAAAAGAAAAAGAAAAAGAAACTCCCAGTAGCAGCCTGATGAGTTGTTAAATTTCAATCTACAGTATCTTTGTCACCCCAGTCCCCACCACAAAGTCCCTGTAGTACGCAATACTGAGCAATCATGTTTATATACCAGCTAGCTTTACTAATTGAACCACAGCCAATTAAAGTTGTTATTTTTCTTCCTGTTTTTCTGCAGCATCTTCTACAAGACCAGGAGTGGAAATGCCATAACCATTTTCTGTAGTTCCAACAACATTCTGCATGCTGATTTCTTTCCTATGAAAGGGTACCGGTGATGATCCGCTCGGAACCTTGGATAAGAGGAGTTGAGAGAGGGGACTGTCTGATTTGCATTTGTACCATGACGCCCAAAAGCAATAGTTTGCAAAGTTAAGACAACTAAGGACGGCTAGAAACCAATAAAAGAGATTCAAATTATTCTTGTTCAAGTCTATCCCTTCCAACCATCCTTGTTTGCTCGGTGTAAACCTCTTGGTTATGGAGTTTATGAGCTCCACAAACACACTGCTGAGGAAGTAACCAATTGATTGTGATAACCATGCGAAAGAAGTGGAAAGTGACCTCATGCCTGAAGGAGCTTCCTTGTAGTAGAATTCCAATAGTCCGACGAGGGTAAACATGTCCGCAAATCCGAAAACACCGTACTGGAAAGACAGCCAGAAGAGACTGATAGGCTTTGTTGGGTCCTTGATGACTTGGTCTCTCCTCTTCACTTCCACCACACCAGCTATAGCCATTGAAATGATTGACAGAACAAGCCCAAATCCTACCCGTTGAAGGTGTGTTATCCCCGATGGACGGTGAGTGATCCTCCGAGCAAAAGGGACGAAAATGAACTGGTAGATGGGAATGAGAATTGATATGAACACTAGTGGGATTACTGGAATTGATGGCGCGGGTACTAGAAATTTTCCAAGCCGACGATTCATGACCGACCCTTGCTGCACTGAGAACGTCTGCAGTTGAGCTAAGCATGTGTTCAAAAGGATGGTACTTGCGATGATCGGCAGCATCCTCATTAGGATCTTCAATTCCTCAACTTGGGTCACCGTGCAAACTCTCCATGGCTCCGGATTCGTGCCTTGGCGAAGAATAGCAGCTTTGTCTAAGAATCTGCAACCCTTCAACGAGTGGACTTGTTTAGGACTAGGCCCTTGTAAAACAACACTTGTTTTATGTATATATTTCACAGTTAAACCATGAATCTGGACCAATCCAATTGGCCGCCATGCACCCAATTAATTTCATACCCTTTATTAGAAGAAGAGTTCAGAATAGAATGCTCAGCAACATTATTAGAATTTTCTTTGGGATGTGGCACTTATAACAACCTCTTAATTAATTTCTTCTTTGTTGGTAGGGAAGAAAATATTCATTTAATTAGGATTGTCAATATAGTGTCACCTGAACTGGTTGGTGTGCGAAATAGTTTCTTCATCAGAAGCTATGTTTTTGTCATTGATCTCATACAGTTGACCAGGGTTCACCGGTAAAGACGAACTTCGATTTCGAATTGCCACAACTATTACCTGATAGACAATCGAGCAATAAAAATCTTTGGTACGGATGGTAATGAATTATGTATATCCTTTGCATCGGAGAGAGAGAGAGAGAGAGAGAGAGAAGACGATCGAACCTGAATTATCCTTACAAGGGGGCTGTCTCCTGGGGCTCGCTTGTGGTAGAAAGGCTTTCCAAGGGAAAGAACAATATAGCCGGCAAATGTAAGTATCGTACAGATGAAAAACCCCAAGTCCCAACCTTTATTGGTATTCACCCACTGGATGACTGTGACTCCAATGGTGGCTCCGAGGGTTGAACTGAGTAAAAGCCAATTAAAAAAGCTTGCAAGAGCCTTGCCCTCCTTTGGATCCTTTTGGTTGAATTGATCGCCTCCAAGCGCAGGAAGAGCTCCTTTAACTCCACCTGCACCCAATGCTAATAAACATAGAGAGCTATAGAACATAAGAGCTTTACCACCATTGACACAGGGTGATTTATCACAAGGTTCTGGCTGAAACTTCTGATAATGAGCTTGAACCGTGAGTATCATCATAGCCTACAAATTGAAGAAATTTAAATTGAATCTCAACTTAACACAGAGATGATAAAGTCAATATTCACTATGTATTCAAGCATACTTTGACAGTGAATGAATCTTACCACTATTTCAAGTAGTCCAAAAATTAAGCATGTACTGAGTCTACTTAGGTAAGTGTCCGCGATGAAGCCTCCAACAAGCGAAAGCAAATAAGTTGAACCCATGAAACTTGTAAGAGTATTTGCGGAGCCAGAGATATCGAAGTGCATCACAAGATAGAAATATAGATAGAAGCCCGTCATGTTTGCAACGAAACCTATGTTCTCCAATGCCGTGAACACTACACAAAGAAGAGAGGAGAAAAAGATGAAAAACGACTGTCAGCCACTTTATCCTTTTCTTTCTTTCTTTCTATTTTGAACTATGTCAGACACATCGATCGGTAACGTTCAATTGATCAGTACCAACGATATGCTCACCGAAAATAAACATGGCAGCTCTGAATCCACCCTGTCCTTTGCTCCATGGGTTGAGGGACCTGTAACCTCCACCGGAAGCTACCCTGTCCTCCTGAACATGATGAAAGCAGCAATAGTACGAAAGTCAGTGTATATGAGGGAGAGAGTTTAGATTGAAATCATTGAATAGATCCAATAGCTTATGGATTTCGGAGATTATAAGTTGTCAGCATATACCATTTGTTTAAGGGTTGGAGAGAGAGAGAGAGAGAGAGAGAGAGAGAGAGAGAGAGAGAGAGAGACTGCAAGATTGTGAGGAGGGAGATGCTTGTGAAGAGGGTGACCTAGAACATATAATGGGGAGATCTGACGAAGAAGAAAAGGAGCATGTAACGGAAAGGAGGTCCTTTTTTTCTGGTGAGAACGGAAAGGAGGACCTTTTTCTCTGGTGAGTAAAGGGAAAGGAGGACTTTGAACATATAACAGAGAGATCAAACCAAATAAAGGTAAGGCCTTATGCAATGTACAATTGTATCAATCAAACTCTCTCTCTCTCTGGTCACTATCTCGAAGAAAGTATCTGGCTTTTAGGAGCTGAGCCAACAGGCTGGGACGGTGGACCCAAATTCCGAACTTCCATTTAGTCCCCATGTGGTAGGTCCTCCTAAAAAGAAGAATCGGATAGTAGATTCTAAGAATCGATAATGACGGAGAAAAGCATTTTATTAGTTAATTATTAGCTAAAACATATTTGTTATAAATACTCACTATAATAAAATGTATATCTTTTGTTTCCAAATATCAATCGTATAAAAACATATATGGTATTAAGTTTAAACATGTAAAATTATAAGAAAATTTGATAGCGCACACGTTGGCATCTCAAGCTAGAGTAACAAAGCGCCAGTGCAACCCCACCCTGGGAGGGATCCTCTGTTTTCTACTCTGTTCCCCTCTCAATGTCATTTCATTCAGGGATCAACACGACCGTCAATTCCTCATGTGAGAATATAGCTGTTCAGCGGCTACTGGCGTGGAATTAATCATTGGTTCCACAGCCCACTGAACAGCTAAAGCGTTCAGCTAATTCGAACTCTAGTTAGGATATGCACGGGATTTGTTCAAAAAGTTTGAAGTCAAAGGAGTTATTATGAAACGAAAAATGTACTATGCCATTTAATCCAATTGAAATCTAATTTGTGTGGTTACCTGTTACCGACAGAGATGGTCACTTCTTATCCAGGTGGTTTAAATGTATCAGACCCAGAGGTGGTGGAAGGCCATGCACTTCGATTGGCTGTTCAGTATGCTCTCCGCTACAAGGGTAGTAACGTCTGTATTGTTGGGGATTGTTTGTGGGTGATTTCTCTCTTGCAGAACAGGGAAAGTACTCCACCTTGGTGCCTATCATCCCTCGTTGCTGATACTCGTAGTATGGTTGAACAATTCCACTGTATCTTCTTTTTCTTTAAGAGGAGGCAGTTTAATACTCAAACGAAAAATAACCACTTCAAGACCAATTTCTAATTGATAAGGCCATTATTAAGGAAAATTGAGGGAAAAGGAACCTTGTAATAGATAGAGCAATTGATTAACTAAAAAGTTAGTTTAAAATTGAATTGAAATGGATGTTAATTTTATTTTCCTCCACGGGTACTAAAACGTGTGCTCGAACCTCGTTATGTTCGGCCACGTGCCGACCTCCACGGGTACTGAAACTTGCCATAGGGGTCTGACCTCCTCGCCGTTGAAGCCTACCAGGGGAGTATCTATCGGCTTTAGGTCGCTTTCTTGGAGTTGCGGCTTGTTGAAGGCGTCTTTAAACAATATGTCGGCCGAGCTACCTGAGTCCACTAGGACACACTTGACTTCGAAGTCGTTTATCCTTAGCTTTATCACCACGGCGTCATCATGAGGATACTGGATCCCACGTGCATCATCCTCCGTGAAGTAAATCGGCTCTTCAATTTGAGGTTGCTTCGGCGGGTTCTGCTCCTTGCTTTATAGTTCACGGACTGAAGTTCGACCTATTGCCGAAGTGCACCCCACAATGATAGACCCGCTAGTAATCATATTGATTACTCCGTGGATCGATCTCTCCTTGAGCAGTTGCCGTGGCGGCTGCTCGTTTTGTCTGTTGCTGGATTCGGGGGCACTCCTTCTTTGATTCTCCTTCCATTCTATTTACCGATCTTCCTAGCTTCTTTCTTCTCTCTATACGAAATTTTTCAGATACCCGCGACGGATGAGCTCCTCGATCTCGTTGCGGAGATTCCTGCAGTTCTCCGTACTGTGCCCGTGGTCTCTATGGAAGTGACAGTAGATGTTTCGGTTCCTGGTGGTGGGGTCTCCCCTCAACCTAGGAGGCCACTTGACAAAGGAGGAGTCTTTGATAGCCATCAGGATTTCTCCTCGCTTAGCGTTGAGGGGTGTGTAGTTCGTCCTTTCAACAAGTGGTATTCTGGAGCGCTGACCTGACTTGCGAGATCGCGAAGGAGATCAGCTCCCAGACTTGTTTCCTCCCCTGGTCGGGGACTTACTCTTTCTTATTTTATTCCCGTCATTACCTGTGTTTCACCATCTCTTTTTCTTTTCTCTGTTGGATTGTCGATCTTTTGATTCATCTCTTCCTTAGTTCCGATAAACTGATCGACGAGCTTGAGGAATTCTGTGATGTCGTTCGGTTTATTGGCCACCACATGCCATTTAAATTCCTTGTGAGTTATGCCCTTTTTGGCTGTCGTGAGTCTCACCGCTGGGTCTAGATCGGGGATCTACAGGCAGGTGTCATTGAAGCACTTGATGTAACTTTTGATGGAGTCCCCTTCTCTTTGAACTACATTAAGCAAACTCTCTTGTGACCTCGGGCACTTCTTGCTGGTGATGAATTGCGAGATAAATAATTCCACAAACTGTGCCCAACTCTTAATTGATCCTGGCGCGAGGTTCCTGTACCAAGTCCGAGCTACTCACTTGAAGGTGGTGGAGAAAGCTATGCACATACAGGACTCATCAGCCCCAACTAGATGCATCTGGGACTGGAAGGAGTCCACGTGATCATTAGGATCAAAAGATTCGCCATACTTATCTAGGGGAGGCATCTTGAAGTCCTTGGGCATCGGGGTCGCCAAGAGCTCGAGAGACAGAGGGGACGACCCGAAGAGTAGAGGAGCGGTCGTTGTGGCTACCGAGCTCGCCTCCTCTTTACCTTTCATCTGTTCTTGCTGGTTCGGTCTTGCGAGCTGGTTGTTTTGTACAAAAGTTTGGCATGCCTTGCGACGTCTCCATTGTTGCTTCTTTAACGGCTCTGCACTGGTGCTGCTAACCTCGGTATGCTTTGGTACTGTTCTGGCATGAGGTAGCTCCTGGTTCCTTATGGGATTTTGGGGCTGACTGTCATGGATAGAAGGGCCTTGCCTTGAGTTCACGGCCAGAACCCCGAATCGGTTACCTGCAAGCGATCCACCTTCTTGATGCGAACACCGAGGAAGAATGGCCTTGTTGGGATGAGTGTCCCTAGACCTATTTCTGAGGTTGCCTTGTGAAGCAGGCGGAGTGATCTGTCCGTCTTTCCTCCCACGAGGTGAGACTTGGCTCCTGAGAGGAAATGGGACCTGGGAAGTCTCCTTGCCTCAGTGGGGAGATCGAGTGATGTCCTTGTTCAGGCGAGGTCGGTTCTAGTTCTACTGAGTTGCGGGGTGCCAGGGCGGAACCGGCTGCTGGTTTTGTGGCAGTTGAGGGAACTGCTGCATTTGGACTTGGATGGCCTGCACGCAGTGCACCAGGTCGTCGAACTGGGATTGTCCGACTCTAGGCGGAACCACAGACGGCTCAACGAAGGTTGCGCCTACCACTGGAGGGAGTGGGGCATTCACTTGTGTAGTGTTTTGTGGCATGGTCAGTGTTGGGACCCCAGCCGTAGTAAGCGGTATGGTGAACTAACCAATGCACACCGAAGGAAGCTGAGGTTGCCCCCCAGAGACATTCATCTCACTGCTCTGTCCAACGTGACTAGAAGATGCCATTGATTTCAGTGGAAAACTGTTGATTGTGAAGAAGGTTTTTTTATCATCTTCCCACAGACGACGCCAATTGATGTAGCACGATCTGACTACTCCCTGCTGGAGGAAGATCTGGCTTCCAGTCAGACGGCGAGGTAGGTGAATTTGCAATACAAGATCAGAGAACCCGGGGTGGCTAACCCGGCGAGGTCGCTCTGATGCTTAAGTTAGTAATCTGATGCGAGTTGAATAGCTTTGAGAGCTTAGAGAGCTAGAGAGCTAGAGAGCAGAAAAATCACACGTACCTTAGGCCATTGGGGTTGGTGTCATTATATACCAGAGTAGTCGTGGGGAACACGAAAGAGCTCCGGGATATCCGGGGTGTGGAGATAGAGTTCGCTCTGCTTCCGAATGAGCAGTATATAGGTAAGGCACATCTCGTTCCACTTCCGATTCCAATGGAGTTAGGATAAGTCCTTATCGTGATCCCGAAAAAGTCGGGATCTGTTAACTCATTGTGATCTCGAGAGATTTGGGATTTGTTGGAGAGACCTCCGGATTTGGTTATGCGGGAGTCAATTACATGGCGATTCGAGGAGTTGGTTCCAAACTGGTACTTCGGTCTTTTAGTTCCAAACTGGCTTGAATACCGAGGTGCCTCGATGTCAAGGTGAGACTTGCGCCGAAGTGGCCCTGCACTGAGGTGAGCCTTAAGCCGAAGCAGCCCTTGTGCCGAGATGACTGAATACCCAAGCTCAATTGTTGCAAACTAAACTTGTCCGACTAAGTTGTCATCTTTTGGTCGGATTGTGTCCACGTATCCTCTTTTTACCAGGTCAGGCCAAATCACACTTCATCAGTTTTTATTAATTACTAATAAATTTTATTTAATTATTATTTTTAATAATTAAAATTTTCAATATTCATTAATTTATGGAAATACCACACTCATAGTACATGGCCTGCTTCAATCAGGTCTAATCCGTTTTCATCATCTTTATCACCCGGCTTCAATCAGGTTATACACCCAATGATTTAACATCGCTTTTCTACAAATGAATGTTTCATTGTTAAAGCTCATATAAATAAATTATTTACACTAAGGTAGATTCATGATGAATCTAGGGGGCCCTTTAATGGTCTACTCCTCCCAAATGGGAATCGAAATTGGAATCAAGTGGAATGGGTGACAATGGCCATCTTTTACTTTTATTTTTTATTTTTTTTCGATTTTGATTCAGCTTGTTTAACATCTACCCTCTGAACCAGGCCCTGACTCAATATAACTCCTGTAGGGGCATATCGGGAAAGGCTTGAGACGATATGTATCGACCAATACGGATCGATACGTAATGATTTTTTGAACCTTACTTCAACCCCCGATGACCTCCTTTCTCATTTGAACGGAACAGAACAAGAATCAAACAGTTTGAACATCAAAGGAGTAGTTAAAGGCTTAAAGCCTCTCAGTGACACTATCATCTTGTACCGGACAATTTCTTTTATTTTTATTTCTTCAATAAGCGTGTCAAAGGGGTTTTTTATCAAATCTATGCTATAAACCACTATTGTTTAGCATAACGACACATGACACCCTTACTGTTTAGCTATTGTCGGTCTCTCTCATTCTCTCTATTTCTCACGAAAACCATTTTCGTTCTTCTTTCTCTATTTTTCAATTTCTCTTGCTCATACCTCCGACAATTTACTGAGAACTACGGTGACCCACGGCGGGCGACGGCAGTTTTGCAGCGGCGACCCTCAGCATTTCCAGTTCTCTCATTCTCTCTGTTTCTCAAGGAAACCATTTCAAGGAAACCACAATGGTGACATACAAACTGTTGCAACAGGAAGCAAGCCAATAGCGGTGAACCTCAGCTCCTCTGCTGGTGAATCTTTAATTGCAGCGGGGGTTTTAATCACCGGCAGTGAGATTTACGAGTTAATTCAGTGATTATTGCAACAGGAAGCAAGCCTAATGGGATACTGACTTCCAAGCTGCTGCAAAGGAACATTTACGGCAGTCCGCGGTTTCCGATTCGGAATCCAGTATAACATAACCCGCGGTTTCCGTCTCCAACATCCACAAGCTTAAGCTAAATGAGTTCCTTCAACAAGTTAAAATTTTTATGCAGAAAAAATGGAAAGAAAAGAGGGAAAGTAAGAAGAGAATGGTTCTATTATCGGTTATTTTAACGGGGAAACGGCTTACCGGAACGCTGAGTTCACTGCCGAGAACAGACCCAAAATCATCTTCATAGAAAAAGCAACAGAGTTGCAGTTATCGTTTTCCCCTTGTTCTTGAGAAGAAACAGAGGCACAATGCTCTTTGCTTCGTGGTACAGCCCTTGAGCCCTCTGAAGTTCTCCTACGAGGTTGATGACAGTGCTAGTAACAGTCCTCAGTTTCTCTCTACGTCTTCGTGGCCTGGTAGTGCTAGGAGAGGCCCCTTCACGCCAAGTAGGAGTGACTGCTCCAGAAGCTTCTTGAGTGGGTACAGTGACTATCCTAATTACATGGCAAATACTGAATCATCCAGGGCCAAGGTCAGATCCCTTTGGGGGATTTCAGATCAAGTTCACAGAGGGCTTCGGTTCTGCACGCCAACTTCACCAGCAAAGCTTACCCTGGTTTAGGGCAGTTGGATAGGCTTGGAATGCCATATCATGGGGATTCTGTTGGAGAGGGTCCGCAGCAGTGGCGGTGATGAAACAGGGGCAAGAGGGAGAGAGAGATGCTGTTGCAGCAGTAGTGATGAAGAGGCGGAAGACAGTGGGTTCAACGCAGATAATCGATCTTCTTCGATTTCTGAACGGATCTTGTGGTCCTGGTGGGCGTTGAATAGTTGGTCGCAGGAGACCATAAGAGACTTAACTGTGCCCTTGCCGACAGCAACCACGTTGTTGGTCTGAGACGACTCTTGGGCATCAGTTCCTCTTCATCAGAGAAGCTGCTGCAAAGGAACTTCCCCGCGAGGATGAGGGAGAAAACGTTAGAGGAATGGCCTTTGAGGGTGGAGATGATGGCATCCGAAGGTGGAGATCCTGGAACTTTCTACACTCGCATGAGAAAGTCTTTGGATCGTATTCATAGATTTAATCAGAAATTGGATGAGCTTGTTTCTGCTATTGTACAGAGAGGATAGGGACTGAACAAACGCTCCATCCCAGACCGAGATCTGATTTCGATCTAACGATGTGGCTGATGACCCTCGGCGGTACAAGTTTCGATCAGCAGTTGTCGCTCGTACTACTGTTGAGAAGGGCAACAGTAATGGAACCCATGCGAAGCCCATCTCTCCTAGCCACTCGTCTACTGGTGGAGGGAGAGGACGGTGAAGAAGCTGATGTTGGAGAGGACGATGAAGAAGCTGAGGTTGTCGAAAGCACTAACGATTCCCGTGATGGGATACAGACGACGACAGTGGTGGCGATGGTAGGAGAGAAACAGGGAGAACGGTTGCAGAGTGATTCACTAAAATTGTGTTACGTGTGTATAAATTTCAACGGAACATTAACTGATATTAACGGCAGGGGTAGAGATAGTCAATTCTTGTCTTGTAGCTAATAGCATCTGGGATTGGTTTTTATTTTTTTCCTCTTTGGATCCAGGTAGCTAATACCCTGGTGAACTTGATAATTTGAAGCCTCCACTTTCAGGTGGCTATAAAGAAGAGGAAAAACTCTAGAGATGCACGCGGGCAACAATACTTATGATGTTATAGGAGGAAAAATATCATAGAATTTTTTAAGGAAAGAAAAGGTGTAAGGAATTATTAATAGAAGGGATTATGTTAAAAGTGATCTCATGGGTAAAATTGATTTATTCTCAGATTTTATGATATACTCAAGAATTGGAAGACTGTTGCATCCTCGTCATCTACAAAAAAGAAGGCAATAAGGAGTTTGGATCCTCCTGAATCTGGATTCCTCAAATTAAACTCTTATGGGAACAGTTTTGGCAACCTAGGTGCTGGAATTGGTTGGGTTATAAGAGATGACATGGGGAGTGTAGTGGGGTTCTTTTCCCTCCCTATTGGGTGGGGGGACTCCACTACAGCTGAACTAAAAGCAATGGTTTCCAGAATACAAAAATCTATGGAAATAGGTGTGAGAAAGTTGGTTGTTGAAGGCAACTCCAAAGTGATTATAAGCTGGCTAAAACAGGATGGAAAGACTCCATGTGTTAGGGTGTGCTATCTCAGAGTGGCCTATCATTTATTTGGGCCTCCCCCTAGGAGATAACCCCAAGAATGAAAGCTTTTGAAACCTGGTAGTAGAGAGATTTGAAAAAATGCTTGCTTCTTGGAGGAAAAATTATCTTTCTCTTGGGGGGAGAATCACCTTGATTAGGTCTACCCTTTCTAACATTCTTGTTTACTTCATGTCAGTGTTCAAGATTCCTACAACGGTCTCCAACCGGGTGGAAAAACTAATGAGGGATTTTTTATGGAAACTAGGAGTGGAGAAGAAAGACCATAGGGTTTGGTGGGAAGTGGCAACTAGGAGCAAGAAGCTAGGGGGGCTTGGGATTGGGAATATCATGGAAAGGAACATGGCATTATTGGGGAAATGGTTGTGGAGATACTCGTTGGAAATGGACAAATTATGAACGAAGATTGTGGCTAGCATACATAGACTGGATGAGAATGATTGGGATCCTGGAATTTTGGCAAGGACCACTACCGCATCCCCGTGGAAAACCATTCATGATTTGCTTCTAGTTTTCTCCCCTTGGATCAGGTGCGGTTTGAACTCCGGTAATCGAATAAAATTCTGAGAGCAAATTTGGGTTGGGGACCTACCCCTGAAACACCAATTTCCATCATTGTTTGCTTTGTCAGATTTGAAAAATGAACCCATTTCCTCCTTAGTTCCTTCTGATTCTTCTTCTGGGTTTGGATGGAATCTGGGGTTGAGAAGGGCAATAAAGGATACAGATTTGGGGTGTATGTCATCTTTCCTAACCATCATTGAAAATGTTTTCTTGAACCCAAGTAAGGGAGACACCAGAATCTGGACCCCTTCTTCACTCGACTCTTTCTCTTGTGCTTCGTTTTTTGAGACATTAGTCCAACCTACTACTCCACTTGGGTTGTCATTCCCTGTTAAAAAGATCTGGAGCAAACCCATTCATCCTCAGGTTGGTAGTTTTTGTTGGGAAATTTTTCTAAAAAGAGTTAACACAAACAACTTGCTTCAAAGAAAGAGGCCCAACTGCTGTTTACTTCCCAATAGGTGTATTCTTTGCAAAACTGATGGAAAAACGAGTTATCATATTATAGTTACTTGTCCAGTTACTAAGACTCTTTGGGAGTGGGTGTTTTTCCTTTTTGGGTATACTTGGAATCCCCCCGTGAGTGTGCAAGGATTGTTCTCTCCTTTCTTTAGATGACTTAAGAAAAGGGGGAAGATTATGTGGAGAAGCATTGACTGCAATGTACTGGTCAATATGAGAAGAAAGAAATTCATGAATTTTTTCAGATAAGGAAAAAACCATAAAAAACCTAATAGATTTGATACTTTTAAGGGCTACTCATTGGCTGAAATCAATGGAGATATTCTCTAAATTCTCTTTGGCAGACTTGCTGAGAAAGTGGAAAGAGGTTGCTACTTCTGCTATGTATAAAAGGAACTGTAGTCCCACTTGGACCCCCCTCCCACCGGATTCATAAAACTGAATTTTGATGGATGTAGCTTAAAGAATCTGGGGCCTTCTGGGATAGGGGGTGATTTCAAGAATGAGGAGGGGTATATTACTACCACGTTCTCTGGGCCAATTAGAGAGGGTGACTCTCTTAGGGACGAAATTCTAGCAATTCTTTAAAGAATCCAAAAAGCAAGAGAATTAAGCATCAAACGATTAGTGATTGAGGGGAACTCGGAGGTGGTGATTAGGTGGTTGAAAGGAGATATCATTGGCTTGTGGAGCTACAGCAATGAGAAGAAAAAATTTAATTGGTTGTATAAGGACTTAGAGGTGGTGAAGAGAAGTGCTAACTCAATGGTTGATGGATTAGCTAAGCAAAGGGTGGCTAAGGATCCTTTGTTTTGGGCACACTTTTAGTATTTTTTTGTCATTTTGATGTTGGGGAGTTAAATAATTTACCTCTCCATTTTCTGTAAAATTTTCAGAAGTATTATTCATTAATAAAGATTTCTGTTATTGATAAAAAAAAAAATGATATCCAGTTAATAGTTCAGTGGACTCCAAGAGTAGCAAATGGTTTGCGGACCAGTTAGCAAAGCAAGGGGCTAATAGGAAACATTGGTTTTGGACTCTGTTGTAAGATTGTAAAGCAAATATTGGGTGGAATGTTATTGGACATTGGGGTAGCCTCTCTGTACTAATTCTCATATCTTTTTATTAATAAAATCGCTTTCACTGATAAAAAAAAAAAGGAGCATTGTAGCTGTATAGAAGAGCGAAAATTACTTAACATTGTGCAACCAATTCTTGTAGCTTGATAACTTAATAATGGAAAAGCAGCCATAGAAAGCAAGCATGCATATAAACACCCTTCCATTACACGAATCCCACAAACTTCATGCCCATCGTCAGATAAATACAATCCCAGAACCATCAAGGTTTTTAAATGAACATATTTACATAAGGAATCAATTTCCTCATAATATTCGGGGACCAAACTAGGCAATGAGAGGAGAATCTGATGACTCATTACTGCTGCTGATATTCAGGATTGAATGCCAGGGACTCCAGGTATATAAGCTCCTTCATCTGTTCCTCGGACAGTGCATGTTGCTCGAAGTCAAAGCTGAATGGAGTTGAACAGACAGGCTCATCGCTAATGTCATGCAGGGAAGCCAAGTATGGGTGCGCTAATGCATCTTCAACTGCAAATAAAGAGTTCAGCATTAGGCAGCTTCTTCTCCCTTCTGGTGACTAGTGCTGCAAGATTCAAGAACTGTGGGAGTGACATTTATTTAGAAAACTAAGCCAATTTTACATGAGATTGAATGTGGCCTCCAGCAACCTCCAGGGCAAGGTGTAGTCCAAGAAACATTAAGTGGGTGCTTGTTTGAGGAATCAAGTTATCAAAATCAAGTTTTTGGGCATCATCCAAAATCACAAAAATTGGGACCACGTGATTCCTCTACTGATTTTTGAGGAATAGGTCTTACCAAACCAATTTTTTTCACAGGATTTAGAGAATTGGCTGATGTCGCAATTTAAAAAATTGATACCTCCAACCATCCCCTAATATAACATTCGAAATGCACTCCCAAATCTAATTTCCCAACTGCAAGGTGGTTTTGTAAAAGGCAGGCAGAGTGTAGACCAGAGTTAAGTGGCCAGCGGGGCGGTGAAGGATATGAAAATGGTAGGAAAGTGAAGGTATGATTTTAAATTTTAAGAAACCCTATGATCATGTTGATTGGAGTTTTCTGAAGTTTATAATTTACAAAATGGGGTTTTCTTTTGGATCAAATGGCTGATGGGCTACATTTCTGACTTTTTTTAAGGTTATTAATAGCGCCGTTACTAGGGGCCATTACTTGTTATAATCAAGGTTCAAAATATCGATACAGGCCGATACGCCCTGCTGGCATATTGGTACTGTTTTTTATGTTTTTTTCCGAAACTGATTCAGAGGGGCCGGTTTAAGGCCAGTCTACCTATAGGCAGATGCATGCAAGAGGAAGGAGTATAGTGGTTTGGGATTAGGAAAAGTAAAGGATAATTAGCTAAGAAAGTGGCTGTAGAGATTCCCTAATGAAGAACAAAGATTGTAACATTCAATCATAAAAAGATAAGTATGATGGTATAAATTAATAAAAACGAAAAAAAAAAAAGAAAAACCTTATGGGTGAGGATAGTCAAGCTGAAGAGTTTTTCAAGAGGTTAAAGGAGAGATACCAGAGAAAAACTTAGTTGCTCTCTTCAACTCCTAAGGAGTTTGATAGGAAAAGAAATGGTTTGTTGACATAAAAATAAACCATTATAAAATCCAGATGGTTACAAGTCATTGTTACAGGTTCAAGTCTCATTATAAAATCCAGATGGTTTTCAACAGTTCTCACATCCTTTTCCTTCTCTGGTTGTGGGTGCTAATTTACCAATCTCTCATACTCATTACAACAGATCCTCATTTCTGTCTTGCATTCACCTTCTCTTACAAAGTTTTAACACTTCCTACAAAAGAATGATGTGGTATCTTATCAAAAAGGGAATGGTCCACTCCTTGTAATTTCTTGACGAAGTGAGATGAGGCACTTGTCTAAATCTGCTAATGAAGAGATTAGACTTTCTCATGTCAGTTTTGATTTCCTGATTAGGGTTGTTAGTTTGTTATGGGCCTACTTGTAAATGGAGAGAAGAATTGAAATGGGTCTGAGATGAGCAAAGAAGAAAATAAGAAAAGATGAACTTGGGTTTCTTTGAGGGAACCTTGCCTCCGAGACTCCTAATGGAATCAAATTCACAAAATACTTCCTACCTCCTTTCATTCACAACCATCATTTAAATATATATAATAGACTAAGAGACTCCAATATAGTGAAAGAGTATTGGGATTCAAATCCCACTATGACTCAATAACGACCCACATTGCACACACATGCCCCTTCTGTTAGACAGTGTATGCCCTTAGCTCCAATCAGATTGATGTGCATTAAACATTTAATGTAAATGAATAAAAATACATAGTTGATTCATGTTATATTTGGTGTGTTTCTATGTAATTACCCTTAAACTGGACACTTATGAGACTTGTGTTAGTTTAGAATGTTCTTAGTCGTTGGATAGACTTGGGGAAGTTTATCCTACCAAGGCTGACACTAATGTGTTGCCAAGTTGGTTGGGGTGGCTTGTCTCAACTGCCAGGGTGAGACCCGAAGCACATGTAGTGTGTGTTTGTTTGAAACACTGAACCCAAACCATTTTCCAGTTATGCCCTGGACCTTGGAGACTGGTGGGCAAAACTGGAAAGTTACACCTAACCCTTAGACTTAATTATGGTACTGCACTGGGTGTCAGATTGGGTTGTCTTTGATATGCCAATCAATGAGATCCTTAGAGGGGATCAAAACCTGTGTATGTTGGGGCAGTCTGAGAATTCACTCGAATGGGTGATCATAGTGACAGGATCAGCCCCTTTGTCGGACAAAGTGAATGATCGGGGATTGCACTCTCTCTGATGGAAACCAAAATTGTCAGTAGTCAACTTCAACCGTGTTTGAGATTTGTTTTGCAATATATATATATATATATATATTATGTCTTATGAAAAAGGTTTGCAAAAGGTTTTAATTCCCGGGATCCATCCGAGCAGAGAGTGCAACACTATACCTTACAGCCGAGGGAGAGATCCTCTCTTGTCGGGCAGTGTTTGATCATTAAGGGCTGAAAGGTCAAGTGTACGACCATTTAGGGCTATTATACCTGATGGGCTAATCTCACTTAAGACCATTGTCCTTGGGCCTTCATAAGATGGCTGGACTCAAGGATCATTTAGTGTAAATGTTGGGCCCATTAAGAGCCCATACTGATGGACTCAGGGATTCATTGTGTTTAGAAGTGAATTCGGCTAGGCTTTGTCACAGAAGCTAAGCTGAACCCATATGGCTTTTGTGATGTCAATGTTAGGGTCCCACGCCATACAAAGAGAGCCAAGTTATCCAACAATTAATCAGGGTCGTAAGCCATTTACTTAATGGGCCTAGGGCCCAAAGATTAATTGGATTAATCAACATGGGCGAATTTGGGTATGAATATGGGTTTGAATCAACAAATAAGGATAAGAGAATAAGTCTTATCCGCTTAAAGAGTTCAAATCCAAATAAAGATTTGGATTAGGAAACTCCTAATTAGATTAGGAGATCAGCTCTTTAAGATCTATAAATAGGAGAGGGCGAACTGCTCCAGAATACACAATACTGCTCTCAGTTCTCCCTCTCTCCTTCTGCTCTTGCCGCCATACATACCCTATTCGATTCTCCATTCTTGAACTGATAAAGATCAGTTCTGGTTTTGATTTTTTGCAAGAAAATATCAGATCTAGCTCGTGCTCACCTCCCTTGCTTGATCCAAGCTGTTGGATTGCAGTTCTTGCTGAAGGATTGCATTGTTGAACCTGCTTCATCTCAAGCTGTGCCATCTTCAGTGGAAGCGGGTTTTGGTACCCTCTTCGGGCATGAACACCTACTTTGGGAGCTGCACATGTGGATTCCGTATCAGGTATTGCTTTCTTTTTCTTTTGGTTTCAGATCTGATCCCGTTTGATTCAAAAACAATCATTGAAAAATGCAGTTTTTCTAAAACTAGGAATACAATTCCTGGAAGGGAGAAGAAATTTTTGAAATTTCGCCCAGCCACCCTACATGGTTTGGCCATCCATATGATGGATTTCCCCTTCCTTCACCTTCACATAACCACTTCTTGTTATCTTTCTATCATCCATACCAAACTTTTAAATCCTAGTCTACTACCCACTTAAACTAACTACCCATTTACCCATAATACTAAATAATTACAATATATGCCATTGCATGGCATCCCATGATCAACCCCATAGATTACAATGTATGGCGCATAACATTCCCAACCCTTGAAAAACAAATCTTGTCCTCAAGGTTGAGTAAGGTCGTTCTAGTAGGTGGCAATCAGTTGTCCGATATCATTTTCAATAGCCATCCAATGGATCCAAATGCATTCCATGCCCATAATCACAAGGAGAGCATGCAAAAATAACCGAGAGCACAGTCTTTCCAGCATGGCTAACTCTCAAAAGTTGAGTGGGGACACCACACCTAAACAAAATCTTCTCTGGTATTATTTGCATGAGGCTGATAAAGATAGATAAACAAAACCTTTTCTTAATCCAGTCATTCCGACCCTTGAATGACCCTTAGATATTTCTGATTTGTCTTCTCCTTCAATCACTACTTCAGATTTCACAGATTAGGGTTTACCACCTAGAGCTTGGTTGACAAAGCCTTTGCCATGGCTTGTAATTATCTGATCCAACCTTTCGTTGAAATTGGTGAACATCTTGTTTAGTTGTTTCAGGCTTTCAGCATCTAATCCTGCCCTGCGACTAACATACCCACTTTGGTTTCAAGGCGAACCATGTGTTCCGTCATAACCAGGCTTTGATACCAAATGTTATGATTCTACTTGTAAATGGAGAAAAGAAGAATTGAAATGAGTATGAGATGAGCAAAGAAGAGAAAATAAGAAAAGATAAATTTGGGTTTCTTAACCTTGCCTCCAAGACTCCTAGTGGAATCAAATTCACAAAAGACTTTCTACCTCCTTTCATTTGTGAAATCTTGGAAGAAATCAATAGAAGAGAGAAGAGAGTATGAGAGAAGAGAGGAACAAAGGCTTTGAGTCCAAAAGATTGGTCTGGCAGCGCCAACATTAATATTTAAGGTAAAAGACTCAAACATACCCTGAGTTTTCATAAATTGACTTAAATATACCCCAAATAAACTTAAATATACTTTGTAGGCTGACCTGACTAAACTTAAACATACCTCCATCAATAAAAGAACTCATTTAAAATTCTAAAAATCCTATTTTTCCCTTCTATACAGGAAAGAGTAGAAAGAGAAGTGAGGTGAAAGAAGAAGAGGAGGAGGAAGAAGAAGAAGAAGAAGAAGAAGAAGATTCTCTTCTATGGCTACCTCCACTCTATCCCCCATAACCCATTCTCAGGTAATCTACACTTAATTCCTCTCCCACTTTCATTTCAACTATTGAAACAGTGTTTATCACTGATGTGGTTTTCTTTCATTTATTTTCATTTCTCAGCTCTGCATCCCAAGCTCTATTGGTGAAAACCCACAAAGACCTAGTTGGTAGGGAAAGAAAAGATGGTGAGTATAACTTGCCAGGCGATGAGCATTCCAGCTGATGATTGCGTTCCTGACATGGGTATGAGGCAGCTCATGAATTTGTTTCTCTCGGGTGTCATATCACTTCCCACCAAAGGTATGCTGGTCCCCTGCAGTGTGACCTCTAATTAAGTATCTAATAATTAAGTTCTTCACAATCCCCGATATATGGTGTGATCCTTCTCAATCTTTACAAAATGTGTCAAGTCAGGTAGGAAATGAAAGTTGTTTAGCAATACCACTTCATTATTATTACAATAGGCTGCAAGGAAGTCATTCGTCTGATTAGCTATTAGACAACTGGAAACGGGTTACCACCTTATGGTTACTATCTTCGTCCACAACTTGTCCCTTTCCAATGGAAACCTCCACAACCATTTCCCCAACAATGCCATGCTTCTTTTCCTAATATTCCCAATCCCAAGCCCTCCTAGCTTCTTACTTCTAGTTACCACTTCCCAACTCACCCTATGATCTTTCTTCTCCTCTCCTGACTCCCACAAAAAATCCCTCATTAACTTATCAACACTGTTAGAGACCTTTGTGGGAATCCTAAACACTGATAGAAAGTAAACAGGAAGGTTAGCTAGGGTAGACCTAATCAAAGTGATTCTCCCCCCTAAGGAGAGAGAATTTTTCCTCCAAGAAGCAAGCCTTCTCTCAAATCTCTCCAATACCGGGTTCCAAAAGCTTTCATTCCTAGGGTTATCTTCTAAGGGGAGGCCCAAGTAAATCAAAGGCCAATCCGAGATTGCACAACCTAATATACCTGCATATTCACTTACTTCCCTCTCCTCCAAATTCACTTCCACCATACAACTCTTATCAAAATTCACTTTAAGATTAGACATCTGCTCAAAGAGTTGTATTGCCAACTTTAAATTCTCGATCCAATTTATGTCCCCACCTTCATAGAACAGGATTGTGTCATCTGCAAACTGCAAGTGTAAGTGGTACTTCCTCCCTTCCTACTCTCCATCATAGTTGTCAAGGTGACGCCTAGGCGACTAGGCGGTTTTCAAACTTTGCCTCGCCCAAACACCATGAAATGTTTGTATAAGGCGCACGCCTAGACTAGATGCAAGACACATTAATATATCTCTTAATACATTAATCCTTTAATATTTTATATTGTTTTTTACTTTTCTTTTGCTGCAAATAGTTTTTATTGGTTAGTTTTTGTTATTACAATAGAACCTATCACACATTATCACTCTTTTTATTAGAAGAAGAGTGCTTTCTTTTTAGGGTTTTATTTTAATGGCAGAACTGAATAGAAGAGGGAGAGCTGGCCGGTCAGGTATGCTTCAAACAAAGTCCAACTCCAACTGTTGCTGCAATGCTGCATAACCAACTAGAAGTCTAAACAACATCGAATAAGCCACGTAGTCAAATGAATCATCTTCTTCTTCTCAGTTTTCAGTCCGCCTATTCTTCCTCCTACCCTCTTCGTTTTCAGCCTTTTTGTTGGTTCTTCCTTTTTTTTTTGTCTTTTCCATACGTTTTTTGCATGAATTTTTTGGAATCAAACAGGGGCTCCGCCCCCTTCGTTTCTTCTTCATTTTCCTGCAAACTTTTCACCCTTTTACCTGCACTTTTGTCCTCCTCGATGGCATTTCTCTGAGTTTCTTCATCATTTTTTCCTCTTCACTGGTGATCTAAAACAGTGGCTCTGCCCCCTTGTTTTCATTTTCTTCTTTTATTTAGTGTTTCCCTAGTTTTTCTTGGTCTAAAACAGCAGTGGAGGCCCTTGTTCTTTTTCTTTTTTTGGTCTACAACAGGGCTCTGCCTTCCTGTTTTCTCCTCAAGTTCTTTTTCTTTTCTTGGTCAAACACAGGGCTACACCCTCTTCAGTTCTTCTTTTAAGTCTGAATTTCTATTTCTAATATTCTGTATTGCATTCTTTAAGGATGAATACAAGAATCATAAGTAGGAAATTTAGTTTAGAGGTTTGCATGTTAATGTATAAAACCAATAACTAGCTCATGGAGGGTAGAAACACGTAGGCTTACTATTTTCTGATTTCATCGTCTAGGCGAGGCCTAGGCGCCCCTTGGTCGCCTAGCCTCGCCTTGGCACCTTGAAAACTATGCTCTCCATCCTTTTATTAAGATCCTCGAGTCAGCTCTATGGATCAGTCTCCCTAGGACATCTGCAATCAGAGTGAATAGAAAGGGAGAAAGTGGATCTCCTTGTCTTATTCCTCTCAAGGCAGGAAAGAAGTCCATCATAATTCCATTCACCAAGATAGAATAGTGGCAACTCCTAACACACCCCAGATCCATTTACACCATCTGTCTCCAAAGCCAAAACTTCTCATCGCCCCCACCAAGAAGGGCCAATCAACTAGGTTATAAGCCTTCTCTAAGTCAAATTTGCATACCACTCCCTTCTTGGATTTCCTAAAGCTCTGCAAACTCTTATTTGCAATCAATATTCGATAAATGATCTGCCTTCCCTTCACAAAAGCTCCTTGGTTGGGTGCAATAATAGTAGGAAGAACTTTCATTATCCTTAGAGACAACACTTTTGCAATTATCTTGTACAGACTATTCACTAAGCTAATAGGTCTAAAATCCCTTGGTTGTGAAGCCTCTTTCTTCTTTGGGACCAAAGCAATGAATGTGGAATTTAGACCACGATTAATTATTCCCCTTTTGTGAAACTCCTCAAAAACGAACACAAGATCCTGTTTCACAATATACCAACAATCCTGATAAAATGCCATTGTGAAACCATCTGGACCTAGATCTTTTGTCCTATCCATCGAGAACACTACTACCTTTATCTCCTCTAGATCAAAATTCTTCTCTAACCACTCTCTGTTATCTACACTACAGTTGGCCATTCCAGCCCCTCCAACCAAACCCTCTCATTTAAAGGCCTTGTAAAAATAGCACACAGGATTAATTAATATTGTCTTCAGCAAACATCAAGCACCACAAGACCTCCTCTTGAATATGTTTAGTCAATTCATCCATGACTATTGCAAATAAACTAGGAAAAGGAGTTGAACCTTGGTGAAGACCCACTGTAATTACGAAACCTGATGTCTCTCCCAAGTATTTTAATGTTGGTCACTAGACTCTCCTCTTAATAAACAAGGTGTGATAAATCTGCAAAAGTTGAATAATTCAAGGTTTCAAATTTTAATTGTAAAACTTTAAAACAAAGTGGTATATAATAAAATGTGTTAACACCTATTAGTAAGATGTATCCATAGTAATGATATTATAACAAAGTGTCCACCTTGTGATTTTGTTCCCTAGGAGGCACCTTGTCACCTAGATGGTTGCTTCATTGCTTAAGTCAAGGTGTTTAGGAGAGATGTGCAACCAAGTACACCTAGTTGTCTAAGTGGCACCTAAACAGCTATATCCTACTGTTTATTGGCAGCTTGTTAGTAGCCTTATCTACTCAAAATGACTGGACCAAATATTTTCCTATGCAACTCAGGTTGTTAGTTGATTTGCCTCTGCTCCTGCCAAGCTTATATATGTCTACAGTGCATAGTTGTCAAGAAGGTGCTTTTGGAGGGTTGCCTCGCCCAAATGCCTACATATTTATATGTAGACAGTAAGACACCACATAATATTTTTGTAATTTTATCTTATGTTATTAATAGTAGTACAATAGATTTTATTAGACTAAATTATTCATATTGTGGGTTTATAGTATTAATATTATTATTCCTTTTTTTATAAGACATGAATTTTATTGAAATAAAAGAGAAGCAAAAGAAAGGTACAAGATGAACACTACTACCACAGAGGCGTAAGCTGCAGCCTCAAAGAGTAAAAACCAAGTTACAACTGTGCCCAGAATAACTGATTCTTGTGTACCCCTTGCTTATCTAAACAATCAGCGACTCCTTTAAGAATAACTCTTTCTTATACTAGTTTCTTTTTATTATTTACTTATTTGTTTGATTCAATCAACACACAAGTCAATAACATAGTCTTGAACCCTTTAAGACTCTAAAACCTGAATTGATAAGTAAGGAATAACTTGAAGGTTTTATCCAATTGATACACATGAATAATCAATTGGACTTCTCAACCTTTATGTTTTGTATGCTTTCTTTCATATCTTACCTTTCTTCTCATAAATATGTCAATTTTCTATCTTTTTTATATGGGATTTATACTTATTTAAGGAGTTTTAAAGTAATTATTATTTAAAGATTATTGCTTATTACTATGAAATCCACGGAACTATCCCAGGATTTATATTTCTATTTTAAAAAATCATCGCCTAGGCAACTAGGCGACAAGGTGCTCCCCTGTTGCCTAGCTTCACCTTGGCGCCTTGAAAACTAAGCTACAGTGCATTACATCAATATCTCAGAATCAGAAGCACTTTATAAAAAGGAATTTTCTTTTCATCTTCTTCATCTACCTAAGTATGTAGATGTAAACTGAGCACGGTGTATAGTGTATTGACACTCATAGGTCAACTACATATTGGTGTGTCTTTCTTGGTGACTCTCATTTCTTAGAAGTGCAAAAGGCATTTGACAATTTCCAAATCATCGGATGAAGCTAAATTTAAGTCTATGTCATCAAGATGTAGAGAATTTATATAGTAACAAAGTCTCTTAAGGGATCTATCTATTAATTTATATGCCAACTCCATTATATTCTGATAACACAAGTGCTATAGGCAACACTTCAAATCCTGTCTTCCATGAGAGAACCAAACACATTGATGTCGACCATCATTTCAATAGAGATCAATACTTTTGTTCTTTATTAGTTAGTTCCCTTCTCTTCTCCAGGATGTAGAAAATGATACGCATAAAACTTGGTCAGTTTGAATCAGTCAAGGTTTACAAATGAAAGCTCAATAATATCATGTAACAGCTTGCAAACATGGTAAAAACTGAAATACAAATTAGCAATGCAGGTTGCACTATTGCAGTTGTGGTTTCTTTTGCCTCATAAACATTAAGTTGAAAAAAATACCAAAAATCTCACCTGTAATCCTCTGTCTAGGGTCAAATGTTAACATCTTTTCAACAAGATCAATAGCTGCAGGGTGAACATGTGGAAACTTTTCGGTAAATGATTGTCGAATATGACAAGGAAGTTGTCGAATGTATCTCTTTGCATTTTCACTCACAAACCCCAAATCTGCTTCAGTTGGAGTGCCAATCAGCTGCAGTGTACAAAAACTATGACTCATATTGGATTGCAGCTAATATACATGAATTAGAGTCTATGCATGCAAGACAGTAGACAAATGAAACATTGATTCAAGAGAAATCAGCAGAGAACAGTTACAGAGAGCTGCCAGAATAGTACCCATTAAGAGATTGTTCTGAAGATACAGCTCCTTGAAGCTCCTTTTAGGACCTTCACACAGTCCCGAAGGGATGGACCCAGAAATATTCTTAGAGATGATATCAAACAATTCCAAATTTGCAAGCAATGAAAGGGCCGGCAAACCACCAATAAAAGTATTGTAAGACAGAACAAGAATATTCAAACTGGTCATTTTGAGTAGGATAGGTTGGGAATTCACCAGATAAGTTGTTGTTGACTTGTCGGAGAGATTAATGATTTCTAAAAACCAATATTATTAGGAACTATACCGTACAAGTGGTTGGAGGAAAGATTGAGTTGGATAAGAGTTGAACAAGAGTCAGCCAAATGCAGAGGTATCTCCTTCAAAGTTGTTAATTGAGAGCACAAGATACCATAAACTTCTGTTGGGGAAAGATGGGATTTTCCCCGAGAAATGGTTGTCAGATAGATTCTTTATCAGTAAATATGTATTTTATTAAAATTCAGATTGTAAGCAGTTTATATAACTTGGTGATGGGACTGTTGATCCCCTTTAATCACTCTATTCTACCCCTCATTACAGTGCAGCCCAAAATAATTGCCGTCTCAATGCCCCCTGTTTTGCGAATCCATCAGCTAGCCCATTTGCACTTCTTTGGACCCATTTAAATTCAGCCTCAACCTCCTTTGCAATCTTCTCCACTTCCCTAATCACATGTTTAAACGTCCATGGGGTATGGCTGCTATTTGTTGCCCATGAAATTACTACTTTTGAGTCCCCTTCTAATGGTTGTCGGATAGATTTAAGAAGCTCAGCTGTTGACAGCCCGACAAACCAACTCCTATGTCACTAGAAAATTTATTGTCCGAGAGATCCACATGCTGCAGTGCTTCACAAGGGTTTAAAAATTTGGGGTTTATACAATAGAAGGGCAAAACAGTCTGAAAATATACAAGAAGGGTAGTTCTGGCATTATATAATATTTAACTGACGGAATACTAACAGATGGACCCAAGTGTCTATTTTTTGAAAGTTCAAGGTACTCAAGTGTTGCAATTGAAAGTTCAGGGTACCTATCTGTAATTTACCGAAAAGAAATAAGATGGGGCAAAAACTGAAACAGAAATAAACCGGAATTTGCACCAAATCGTTTGCACTCATACTTTTACATCAGTTAAAATGTAATTGCCTGCAAAGAAACTAAGCCACAACAATAATAATAACAACAACAACAACAACAGTTGTGTATAGAAGTCATACAAGGCTAATATAAATTGTATATAGTAATGTTTTGAAAATAGTAATCATATTGTAAATTGTAGAGAAAGTTCAATCAAATTGAATCGTTAATTGTATCATAAATAATAACATTATTTTACCTTGTTTTTCATTACCTCTTCTTCAAAGTCTCTCCAACCAGCTGACATTTTCCTCACATAATCTTGGTCATTCAATTTCTTCCACCTTAGCTTTGTTATTCAAAGGCTTTCTCAACAGGAATTTAAAATGATCCACAAATCTCCTTGCAATTTCTTCCTGATTTATTATCTCTTCACCCTCAATTTCCAATTTTGCCACAAAGTTCTTTCTCTTTTTTCCATTAGCTAAACCATGAAAGTACTTAGTATTCCCATCCCTTTCCTTTATCCATTTATGTCTTGACTTTTGCCTCCACAATATCTCTTATCACAATAGAACTTCCAAATCCACCTTGAGTTTTCTTCTCATCCCTCTTCCTTGCTCATCCAAAGTTCCTTGGGATTCTCTAAAATCGAGCTCCTCAACCCTCGCTAGAAATGAAGCCTTTTGTTCCTCTAGTCTGCCAAAATGGTCCTTATTCTCGTGAGGGCTTGTGGGTTGACCTCTCTGTCAAACTCATTAGGTGACTCAACTTCCTCTTCCTTCCTCTTGTACTCTTCCAATAAAGCACAAATTTGGTTCCAAAATACTTCCAACTCCTCTTGCTTCTTTTGGAAAAGACTCATCTCACTACGCCTAACACCTAACTCACATCTCCCTTCAGGTTTTGGTCTATCCAACCGGGATGCTGGAGACTCTATTACAGGCAAAGAACACTCATCAGTAGCCAATACTGGAAGAACAAAATTACCTGATTGTGTGGGATCCGAAGGAGCTATCTCAGGAGCAAGAAAGTCAAAGGTTGAGTTCAAGTCTACACCTATTCCCTGTGCTTGATTCTGTTGTAGAAGGTTAGAGGTAGGATACAGAGTTTTATCAACTGAAGCATCAACAGGAGACCACATGCTGACCCCCTTCAGGTATAACGTTGCACACCTTCCTGGAAGTGTCTCTGCGGTCTCTGTTATTTTCTTAACTAGGCAGCAATCACCCAAGGTTACGGAAGCTTCCCCAATTTCCATTAAACCTCCTACCTCTTCCTCCGAAAAGAGAACCACAGTTCCGAAACTATCAGTTCCCAAAGGACTTGTTGAATGATTTAAATCTACACTCCCAAGACTTGGAGCGTCGTCTGAATCAGTATCACTTGTTCTCTTCGTCTGAGAGAGAAGCCCTTTCCGCCACATCAAAATCACTTCGTATGATGCCTCTAGGATTCCGTCTTTCTGGCGAGAGACACTCGATGTATTTCGAGGGGACCCACTACAACGAGCTTCCAGCACCAGAGGAGGGCAAGCGAGCAGTTGCTTAACAAGAAGGTTTCATAGAAGAAGAAGAAGATAGACTGTGTTCATCGTCTATGAAATGTTTTTCCCCTATCGCTTGACTCTTTAAAGAAGCATGTGCCAACTTATCCTTTGCAGCCGGGCCTAATAGACTCAGCCCAGTTTTAACCATTAATAGTTCCGTCCCAACTAACCCTTTGGGCCCACCAGCAAAAGACTAGGTCCAACCATCTTGTCTAGATCCCCTAATTGGACTCATCAACTCTAACAACCAACCAAGGGATTTCCGTTTGCTCACCAATTTTGAACTACCCATTTTGGTGCCACCTTCCACTACTTGAGTATATGACCTGTCAGCAACTGGACCTATTCCTTTGTTCCACACATCTTAAACTTCCATCCACAGTTTTGACCTACAAGAAGATGCCATCAACTCTTATCTCTACATTCCTGGGTATATCCTCATGTTTAACACCACTAAGTAGTAATGCTGCAGAACGAAGATCTCTCCAAAAAGCACCATCCAGAAGGGCTTGACACATAAGCGCAATTGATTCTGCTACCTCTCTGTTCCGAAGGTGAAATGGTAACCCAAGAACACGCACTACCACCCTGTCCATAATTGAAAAAACTTTAAAATTTGAGGAAGGAGTCCATCTGAAGATGGCAAATGTTCCAATAGCATCCATAATACTCAAGGCTAAAAAATCTGCTTTATCTTCAAGAAGATCCAACAGAGCTCTGCAGTTATCAAACGGTGTTAGTACAAACGTATTTTGTAAGGTCAGTTTTTAAACCAAGATCTGAGCTACCTTCTCCCACTCACTGACAAGTTGCCTTGTTTCAATCACAAACTTGCGCGACCAATCTCCTTTTCCTGCAACTCCAATCACTGTAATTGTAACATGGTCAATAACTTTTGCTCAATTTTCTCAACACAATTTACAACCTTGGAATCCTACTTTAACTTCTCAGAGTTCCCTCCTACCTTAGAACTTTCCACTTTGTCACTAAAGTTCTTTACTTGTGGTATGTTCAGTTTCTGCAGATATTCATCCAAGGCCTTAACCACCATCTGACAGCAGCCACTCTTTCTACCTTCCGGGAAGCAGACCTGTTGCTTCTTCCCCTTGTCAAAGAACTCAGATAGGGCTATAAAGGAACCTTTTGCATTTCTTTTTCCCTTGATCACATATCTTCTTCCCGCACCAATGGGAATATCTTTCTGGCTACATGATTTTCCTTTTAAGCAAGCTTTGGAAATGAAACCTCTAAACCATTCTATCACCTCAACCCCCACCAACAGAATTGTTGCCAATTTGGCTTCCCTAATCAGCAGATTCTGCTTCCCCTTGATCTCCATTTCCTCAAACAAGAAATTTTTTGCTTTGAGTTTTAGAGCCCTCCTCCAGCATACAGCTGCCACAAAACTCTCCTCCAGTCAAAAACACTGATGCTAGGAAAATCATGTAGCTGGGAAGTGCACTACTGTTGGACCAAAGTATTTGGGTTGTCAATACATCTTTTAAGTGGAGATTTAATCAAGAAGATAGAAGAAGTATGTAGGGGTTTTGTCCATGTGGATGACTCACAAGCAGCAAAAGAAAGTTGTGAATACATCTTTTAAGTGGAGATTTAATCAAGAAGATAGGAGAAGTATGTAGGGGTTTTGTCCATGTGGATGACCCACAAGCAGCAAAAGAAAGTTGTGAATAGGTGTGAGGAGGGAATTTGGTGGAGAGGAACCATTCGAGCAACAATGAACAATGTGTCAAGTGGTACGTTGTACATGATAGCCATCTGGCTGGAGGTCAACGCTAGTGTTTTCCCTCTGTCAAAGAACTTGCAAAACCAGTCATCATTGGGGCAAGCAGAGATGGTCAATACCATTCATCTACATGGGAATGGAGAATATGGCATTCGGGTGAAGCCATCACAACCCGATGTTCCATTGGCCACCAACTAGAATCAAGATATTCAATGCTATCTGATGTTTTTGTTTCCCTAAAAAAAGCTTTCATATGTATTTTTGTTGAGGTATACATTTTGAGAACATTGAATAATATACTTTGTTGTTATTTGGTTGTGCTAGTGGGGATGTGCACAGATAGTAAGTGCTGTAGTGAAGAAATAGTTGGTTAGCCACGAGTGTGGGGTTCCATACCCACACTCAGGCTCTAGTGTGTGTGATTTCATACCCACACCTAGTTGTTTCTAATTTCTTT